GTTTGCAAATGCATCTAAATGAAGATTCTGCTTTGAGTCCCACAGATTACTGCTGATCCCAGGGTCCTGTACAAACACCTCTCTTTCTTGCCCTCACCTGCCCCACTTGTCAGGTGCCTCCAGAAGGCCCCAAACACATGCTCATCCTAGACTCCTGCACTTGAGAAAGATTTGCCTTAGCTTTGTTTAAGTTCTCCTCACAGCAGAGCCTGAGACAAAGACTTGAGTGTAGGTCATTTACTTGGGAGGTGGTCCCAGGAAGTACAGTGGGAGGGAAGTAAGGCAGGGCAGGAATAAAAGCCCATAAAAAGTGCATTAATAAACAGTCACCTCTGTGGACAGCTGGGGCTCACTCCCAGGAACCGTGAGGAGTACGTGAGGATAAATGCATGGAATGTTTAGCTGCAGCTCCCGTCCCTTGCTGGCTGAGGGCTGCCTTGCTCACAGTATGTGTATATGGAGCTGCTCGCTGCATCTGTAGGTGACCCTAAAGGTAGGCGGAGGTGTCATGGGGTAGGGCATCTCCTGGGTCTGCTACAGTTCCCAGAACGAAATCTAAGCCCTGCCCTTCAAATGCTCATTCCCTCTTCCACTGTGATTGACAGTGGGAGCCACTGCCCATGGAAAGCTCTTACACCTGCCCCGAGGGGTGTGGGCTGACCCTCAGCCCCAGGAAGGCATCCAACATGGGTAGACTCTGTATTTCTAACAACCTCTCCAGGTAACTGACGGGGGGCCGGCTGGATATACCGAGCTAGATGACCTTCAGAGCCTGATTCAAGATCTTCTGTTTCTTCAAAGCAAAATGAGTCTGTTTATCGAGCACAAACTGTAATAATATACTAGTTAGTGCAAAAGGCAGAGTCTCTAACTTTGAGCTCTCATGGTCTCTTGGGGCAAGAGTCACTAAAAGCAGTAAGTAAAATCCAAAAGGGAATCTGCTTCACTTATGGAAAAAGTATGCCATGACAAGACTGAGGGGCGCGACTGCGTGGAAGAGAAGGGGGATGGGGAGAATGGGGGAAGGAGAGGGAGGGAAATGCGGATGGAGGGGGACTGGCAATGGACTGGAAAATGCGGCAAGAAACAGACTGTAAGGAGCCTTAACTGTCCAACTAAGTTTGAGTATTCGTCTCAAAGTGATGTAGGGCCAACAGCAGTTCTTTTCACTTGGGAAGGATGACAAAAATTGTCACTGCTCACTAAATACCCACATCCTACCCCGGGGCGTCTAGGCAGTCAGGTGAGGTGTACTCCTTGTCTGAGGCAATTAAGAGACACACTTGCTGTCTGTCTCTTGTTCATGTGGCTGGAGTCAAAGGACTTGGACGTGGTGGGATAGCCAGATGGAGAGGCTTTGGAGAGGGCCTGAGCTGGGGGGCACCCGTCAGGCAGGGGACTGTGCCATGCCAGAGAAACTGACCCTGTGTCAAGCGATTGTGATTTGAGGACTTGTTTGTTACTGCAACTTAGCCTATTCTATCCTCACTAATACAAGAAGGCATTGTGAAAATAAACATGGATGCAGTATTCAATATGTTTCATTCTCAACCATCTTGTGACATTGGCATTGAGATCCCAACTTTAAAGACAAGAAACAGAAGAACTGAAAAGTCAAGGGATTCACCTGAAGTCAACACAGCTGGCAGGGGGACAGAACAGGGACTCACATGCAGCTATGTCTGGTTGCAAAGTTTTTCACGTTACAGGATTCCTCAAAGTCTGCTGTGTGTGTGACCAACTTTAAAGACAAGAAACAGAAGAACTGAAAAGTCAAGGGATTCACCTGAAGTCAACACAGCTGGCAGGGGGACAGAACAGGGACTCACATGCAGCTATGTCTGGTTGCAAAGTTTTTCACGTTACAGGATTCCTCAAAGTCTGCTGTGTGTGTGTGCCACTGGTAGAATGCAAGATAATTCCCAGTGATATGTGGATGAAAGTTAATTAGTTTCAAATTTATCTGACAGTATATTGGAATAAATATGTAAACTATACATCAAACCAGTGATTGCATGGCTGTTATTTCTTAGGAGGAGGGGACATTTTTTTCAAAAATGTTGGTTTAGAATTAAAGGGAAAGATCCAATAATAGTAAAGGCATAAGTGGACCCAGCAAAACTGGGATATTGGCGGATGAGGGATGAAGAGGGCTTGCTGCCCAGGACCACAGCCCATCTCTCCTCGTAGGAGTGTGAGGTTACCAGGTTTGTTCTTCAGCAAAGGAGCTGAGCCTTGGGGCCTGGGCGGCAGCACTGTGCCCTTTCTGTGGTACCACACTCTGCCCTTATCACACATGCTCTCTCTTGGATGAAACAGTCTTTAAGTCTCTGGAAACCTGAGGGGTGTGAAAACAAGGAGAGGGAACGGCGGGAGCCCTTCACGGCTGCCTGTCTGACTTGTGAGCCGCCTTGAAGAAGGCCCCTCAATGCATGTTTTTCTCTGGCCAATACTGGACACACTGTTCCTGATTTTGATTCCTGGGGAAAAATGCTTCACGTTTTAAAAACCCAAATATTTATTTTCTTTCCTCAATGTATATGCTGAACTTCCAGGTCTCGTCCCCCACAAGCCCCTGCTAGTGCTCTGGAATGTTAAGCTGTCCCCTTTTTCGGGAAGCCACCTCTCTTCCTGAAGACTTACCTGTAGCACATTTCTGTGGCTCTGCTAATGAGTGGAGAAGTGACATAGAAAGGGCGCCTGTGTTCCTCTGAGGAGTCCATAGAACTGCCATTCAGCGATGGGGCTGAAAGAGCTATTTCATGGGCCCAGCTGCTGTCCCGGCCAAGAGAGCTTTGTACCGTGAGCTCTGGACACAGCCCCGTCCACCGGGGAGAGGGGGGCGGTGGGCCAGGACACTTCAGCTCACGTTCTCCTCGTCCACCTTCCGCAGGGCCGTGGGGAGGGCCCTCCTGTTGGTCACCATTGCTGACCCATCTGACCCTTGTTGGTTTACCAGGAAATAGAACCAGTTTGCCATGAATTCCTTCTCTTAATCCATTTCTTTGTCTGCTCACCAGATGCCCTGTTCCAGGCATCACATTGGGTCCCTGAGATTCACTGGTGACTGAGGCAGGCAAGATCCCCGCTCAGACGAAGCTGACAGCCTCTGGGGGAGTGACACAGATGACGCATTTATAACACAGTCTAGGGAAGCGATTAGCCCCACACGCACCATGCCCTGCAGTGTTTTTGGAGAAGAGAAGTTGTAGAGAGAAAAGAGACCAGCAGCTTCCACTGGTGTTTGGTGGAACTGGGGGGTTATGAGCTATGAATTATGTGAATAAATGAAACATAAATGGGAAAAGTCAGAGGGAAATGCCATTTACTTCCTTGTTCTCTAGCACTGGGGCAAAGGGGAATGAGACGGTTCCAGGCTTGGCTGTGCTCCTGAACTAGCTGGGCGGCTTCGGGCAATTGAAGAGCCTCTCTGGGCCTGTTTCCTCATCTGACAAGTGGGCTAAGCTACTCGGCTGCGCTGCTCTCACAGTTTTGCTGGGAAAACAAAGGAGGTACAGTGGTAGTGACAGTGACTGCTACTATTGCTGGTCTCCGAGAAGGCTGGTTGGGTTAGCCGTGCTGGCAATTGCTTTTTAAAGGTGCCTGTTCATTTCCTTTGACTGAGGTATAATTGACATAAAGTGAAGTGCACAGGTCTTGTGTTAACGATTCTACTTTCTGGGACGGTGATGATCCTTTGACCCCTATCTCCACTTCTGTCCTCTTATTTTCCCCTCCCATGGTCCCAGTGGGGCAGGCAGGCCAAGAACTACCATTCCCATTGTGTGATAGCAAGCTGAAGTTCAGGAAGGTTAAGTCACCAGCTCCAAGTCACACAGCTGGTCAGCAGCAAAAGAGGATCTGAATCTCTTCTCAGGTCTCTCAGGTGGCCAAGGTCACACTCTTGTGCTTTATCCTATCAACTCCTGGACCCAGATAGAATGGTAGGGACCATTTCTGGTTATGTTCCTTTATTTATAAGCCATTATTTTTGCCTCCAATGTGCAGAGATAAATCACCCAGATCCTTACCTGCTCATGGGTGAGAGAGAGGATGCGTGGAAACGCAGGAAGGGGGGCCTAGCCCTGGCGAGTGGGGAGATGTGGGCATGGGGAAGGTACCTCCACCAAGCTATAGCCAAGCAAACAGGGTGGCTGAGATCACCGGCCTGGGCCCTATCCTGGCAATGATACTTCTTAGCTGTGTGGTTTTTAGACAAGTTAATTTACTTCCCTGTTTTTCAGTTTCTCATCTGGGAAATGGGAGTAATAATAGTAGCTGCACGACACGGTGGTCAAGAGAATAAAATGAGATAGATCATATGACTCTATTCTTCTAGTCAACCCTATGGGGTAGGCACTGTCAGCACTCCCAGTTTCCAGGTGAGGAATCTGAGGCACAGAGAGGAGAAGTAAAGTGCCCCTAGTCACACAGGGAGTATTTGGCAAACCCAGGAACTGACCCCCAAGTCTTTGCCCTTAATCTGAACTGCCTTGCACTTACTAAGTGCTAGCATGTTGGCTCCAATTATGATCTTGAAAGATTCTGTTAGGCAGAGAATTGTCAGGACAGGGCGTTCTGGGCAGATGGCCCTGTATTGTGCAAAGGCCTGGAGGAGAATCTGGGTGTAGGTGGAGAGCAGGCTACGTAGAGGCAGGGCCCAGCTGAGGCTGCAGATGGAGAAGCGTGGCGGTGAGGAAACGGGCTGGCACTGCAGGTGAGAGAAGGGTTTGGGTGCATGATGCGGGTGCAGGGCAGGGACATGAGGCCATCAGACTCAGGTTCCCCTGGGCTTGGAGTGGTGGCTTCGGCTCAGTGCAGGCTCCGGCCCCTGGAGGAGCCCCCCTCCACCTACCTGAAATTTCCTGAATTCCAGCTGCAGCTCTGGTTGCTTCTGCAGGCAAAGGAGCCCTTGTGGTCGGAGGGGCCTCTCGAGCCCAGGCCAGAAGGTTCCCTCCCTCTCCCAGCACACACACCTCCATTCAGCCAGGGCCCCGCCCCCCAAGGGGGCTGGGGGCCTGGGCAGCCACCCCCGCATCAATGGGGGGCCTCCTGGCTGGGAAGCTGGGTTGATAAGACCAGGATCCCCCTGGCCCCACAACTGTGCTGGCTGTCTGAGCCGCCAGGACCATGAGGGCCACCTCTGGCACCAGCCTTGTGCTCTGCGGCCTGCTGGTGCTGCTCCAGGCCCCACGAACACTTGGCCTCACCCCCCAAACCAGAGGTGAGGGGGCCCATGCGAGGTGGGGGACACTGGGTGAGTGGCCCCTGACTAATAGCCTAGGGGGCTGGGCTCTGAGATGGACAGAGGCTGAATGGGATCCAGGATTGGGAGCAGCAGGCAGGCAGGGGTGGCCAGCAGGCAGGCACAGGAGAGATGGTGACATTCATAGGAACCAGGGCAGGGGTGGCTTGTTAGTCTGTGCTGTCGGGGGCATGAGCGGGCCTCAGGAGTTCCAGAGCCTTCTGTGGGGTTCTCAGCCCCCAGGCTGCCATAGGGACCATACATGCTGCAGGCACCATGGTCTCCTGGGTCACTGAGGGCAGAAGCTATGCAGAGAGCCTGCTGACGTCTCTAGCTACGCCAGGCCCAGGGCTCAGCTCATGGGCCTTTGGTGAGGAGAACTTTGTGCGGCTAAGACTCTGGTCTCCTTCCAGCCTATCCCAGACTGGGCTCCCCAGTGCTGCACATCTACTAGAGTCTCAGCCTTGGGCACTGAGCCCTAGAATGCCTGGCTCTTCCTGCACAGGTGGGGACACTGAGGCTGGTGGGGGGCAGGCCTCAGACCACACCGTGAGGCAGCCCCAGTGCCTCCTGGCTCCTATCCACTGCGCTACGGTGTGGGCAACTCCCTCTTCCTTTCTGGGCCTCAGTTTAACCATTTGTAGCCTTAACTAATGGGGACCAAGGAGTGGCTGCAAGGTCGTTTCGAAGGGCCCCTGAGGAGCTGTGACACTCGCTCAGGCTCGTGACTGGGGAGCCGGGACAGCCCAGCACACCTTCGCTTTCCCGATCCCCCTGCTTCCTCACTGGAGCAGCTCTGCGCAGTTCAGACTCAGTGTGGAGAAGAAAGGCGGAAGGACCTTTGCACCGAGCCCCACCCGGTGGTAGACCCAAGGCCAGTGGCAACATCCAGCACAGTCTCATCCTCTCCACTGGACAGATGAGGAAACTGAGGTCCCCAAAGGGGCAATGAACTGCCCAGGGCCCCAGAATGGCTGAATTGGGATTTGAGCCCCCACTGACCTCACTCCTCTCCATGCACTTCCCGGCACATGTTGCTGCCTCCCCGGTAACTGGAAGACACCACTCTTTGAGTGTGTTCTGGGGTCCTACCTGGTGTCAAAGTGGCCACTAGGAATTCCTGTCCCTTTCCCCCTGCCCTTGGACGCCAGCCAGCAGGCTTGGCAGGGCAGAGGGAAACTAGGTCCACCTTGATGATTCGCACTGATGCTCACAAGCGAGAGGCCATGGGGATGGGCACTGTGGCCACACTGGAGGCTGCTCAGGGCCTTCTGCCCAGCAAGGAGAAATGCTGCCCCTTCTTTATGGCAGCCACCCTGGGCTGAAACCTGAGAAGTGTATTTTTAAGGCTGTCATCTCCTTTGCCACCCCCTGCACACCCGCTGTGTGCCTAGCCCTGGGCTGGCATCCTACGTGTGCTCTTGCTTGTCCTCAGAGGAACGTGTAAGGGATCATCAGCTCATTGTATGGATGAGGAAACTGAGGTTCAGTGAGGTGCAGTGAGTTAGCTGAGGCTGCAGTTTGAGCTTCAGTCTTTCCTATAGGGCTGAGCTGTGGGCCTTGAGCAAGTTGCTGGCCCAAGCGTCCACATGCTGACCAAAGGTCCCAGCCAGGCCGGTTCAAGTGCAGTCGATTCTGCCTGAAGTCCCAAGCCTGGATCTAAGTAGCCCCTGACGCTCTTCTCCTTGGCCCGTGAGGGCCTTTGGTCCAGCCTCCTGACTTTTGCCCTCTGCTCTTGCCTTCTCCCTCTGGTCCCCCCAGGGCAGCTCTGCCGGCCCCGGCCCACAGACCTGGTGTTTGTTGTCGACAGCTCGCGCAGCGTGCGGCCTGTGGAGTTTGAGAAGGTGAAGGTGTTCCTGTCCCAGGTCATCGAGTCTCTGGACGTGGGGCCCAATGCCACGCGGGTGGGCCTGGTCAACTATGCCAGCACTGTCAAGCAGGAGTTCCCTCTGCGGGCCCATGGCTCCAAGGCCGCTCTGCTGCAGGCTGTGCGCCACATCCAGCCGCTGTCCACGGGAACCATGACCGGTCTGGCTGTCCAGTTTGCCATCACCAAGGTCTTCAGCGATACCCAGGGCAGACGCACCCGGTCTCCTGACATCCGCAAGGTATGTGCCTGCCCTCTGCTGGCACTTTAGCTGTGTGCTCAGAGCTGGTCTGCATACACTTTAGTTCTGGAAACACCCCTGTTACGTGGCCATTTTATATTTGGGGAGCAGACCCAATGAAGGTAAGTGGCAGAGCTTGGATTTGAACCCATCTTTATCCATTCTTCTGATCCCAGGAGCTTACAATCTAGTGAGCTCCTGATTATTTCAGATTTAGTTGACCTTGGCTCGCCAGCCAGTTGAGTTTCTTGAAGGCAGAGCGGGACAGTGTGATGGAGCCTCTGGATGCAAGCCCTGACTCCACTGTACCAGATGGGCCAGCCTGTGCAGCTTAGCAGCTCACAGGTGCCCGTAAAGGGAGAGTAACAGGACAACTTCTCAAAAGGCTCTTGGGAGGGGTGAGTTCAGGTGCATGGGTGCTCAGAATAGCACCTGGCACCTAATAAGCCCCATATCAACATTAGCTCATTTTTCATTTAATAAGCCTTTGAGGCCAGGGCTCAGGAAAAGGAAGTGATGCTCCCAGGTGAGTCAGTGAGGGCTTCAGGCAGAGTGCTGAGGGCTTTCAGACCTCATAGTCACTGCAATTTTTCAGGACTCAGGGCAGGGCCTGTGAGGCCGGTGGTCCTGCCCAGGCTCCTGACCCTCCACATCCAAGCCCTCAGTGGCCCTGAGCTGCCATTTGCCTGCCTGGCCCCAGCCCAGGGGAGGTACTCTTTCTTGGCGCCCACAGTACACGACTGCTGAATGAATCAGTCCTGCTCGGAGGCAGTGCCCCCATTTTACAGATGAGGAAGTTGAAGCACTGTGAGCTTTAGCAACTTGCCCAGCTAACAAGTGGCAGCAGTGTTCACGGGCAATTGCATATAATTCCAGTCATTAATGCCCTCAAAAAATGACACATCAGCAGTTTGTTAGTCTTGTTTTATGGGGACCATTTGCAAGTTGCGACATGAGGTTGATGGTACGGGTGGTTGGGAGGATATGGTGGCCTGGTCGATCCAAGTGGGGAGATGGTGGATGGGGTTATGGACATCTGTAGCTGTCACATCTGCAGAATTAACCATTCTACCCCCACATTAAGCCAGGTGCCCGGAAAGGGCAAATGAGGGCCAAGGTCCTGCCTTAGGTGAGACAGAGCATCTGGGGCAGCTGGCACCAGACATTGGGTGTTCAGTTTGGAATTCAGGTGGCTTCTAAAAGATGGATTGGAAGTCGCAAAGCTGGACTGAAGGGGGACAGTGGGGACTCAAGGAGAGAGTGGGTCTCAGGGAATGCAGCAGCATGTGAAGTGTCACAGCTGTTTTCAGGGCTAGAAGCCTAGGCTGCTGGAGGGTAAGAGACTGCAGGGTCACTGCCCAGGGGTCCACAGCAGTGATACCAAGAATAGTAACTGCCCCTTCCTGGCTTCTCAGCACGAATCATCTCACTAGAATGCCACCACAAGCCCCTTTTCCAGATGAAGGCGCAGGAAGGCGAGCTGTAACCTGTGGAGCTGGCCCAGGCCTGTCTTAACCACCATCCTACAGGTCGCCAAGACGGGGCCTCAGGCACCCAGGCCAAAGCTGGGCACCCAGGAATCAGAGGCAGACCCAGGTCGGAAGCAGAGAAGCAGCCGAGGGGCTGGGTGCCGGTCCGACTCGAGCAGAGCTGTGAGCGCAGGCTCAGGCAGGTGTGAGGAGGGCCCGGCCTAGTGTCAGGGCCCCCTCAGTCCCCCTTTCCAGGGTACAGGACAGAGGGGTCGTGTGGGAGGGGAGCAGACAGGGTTTTCCTCCACGGACCGGGCACGTACCACGCTGGGGAATGGAGGGAGACGGGTGGCACCCTTCCCCCGTTTGTTGGGCGTCCTCCCTCGCAGAACCTATAGAGGAGGAATGACCAGGCTGGAGGCACAGCGGCCATTCACTAGTCTCTGCCGCCCTCTGGTGGTCAAAGGACAGAATTGCACAGCGTTGGACATAGGTTTGGCCCTTTCTTCAGAGGATGATGGGAGACACGGTCCTGTACTCAGGTGATCCCCGAGCTGCCTGCCTGAGGGAGGAGACATCCAGCGGCCCTAGTCAGTTGGGAGAACACCTCGGCTCTGTCTTTCAGTCAGAGGAAACCTGTCTTCTCTTCCGGGAGCCAGGTTCTCTTCCTTGGGGCAAAACCCTGGCGGGAACTCGGATCACCTGCAATCGATCTGCTGTGTGACCTGGGCAAGTCACTCTGCCTGGCGGGCCTCAGTCTCCTCTTCTGCCAACGGTCCCGGGGGCCTACTGGAGGGCCAAGCGGCCCCGTCAGCGCGGGCAGGGAGGCCGTGTCCTTACACGCACCCCCGCCTGTGGCAGGTGGCCCTCGTGGTGACTGACGGGAGGCCTCAGGACAGCGTGCGGGACGTGTCTGAGCGGGCCCAGGCCAGCGGCATCGAGCTGTTCGCCATCGGCGTGGGCCGCGTGGACAAGGCCACGCTGCGGAAGATCGCCAGCGCGCCGCAGGACGAGCACGTCGACTACGTGGAGAGCTACAGCGTCATCGAGAAGCTGTCCAAGAAGTTCCAGGAGGCCTTCTGCGGTGCGCCGGGCGGGGCGGCGATGGACTGGGCTGGCTGGGGGCGGAGGGGGAGTGGGCGTGGCCTGGGGGCGTGGCCTGACAGGGCGTGCTGAGAGTGTGTCGGGGCGGGGTGGACAAGGCGGGGCTGGGGTCGCCCCATCATGGGCTGGGCCAAGAAGAGGCCGGACGGCGATGCACCGGGCCGGAGCCGAGAGTCTGCGACTGGGCGGGGTCTGGGCGGGGCGGTGGACTTACAGGGCGGAGACTGCGAGCAAGCCGACATCAGGGGCGGGGCCTTTTCCGGGGTTGGGTCGGGCGGGTTCCGAACCCCTGGTGAAGGCCGCCGTGTAGGGGCTCTGTTCTTTCGCGTGTCAGAGTCCTGCCAGGGGCCAAGAGGGGCCGGAAGCCAGTAAGGGGAGAGCCTAAAAACTCAGGCGTGTTTGCTTGTCAGGGGATTTGGGTGTTAAGAGTCTTCCGTGAGGCAGTACATGGTCCGAGGGGCTTGGGCACCGGGCAGTAGAAGGTTCAGAATCCTTTGCAAAGGGGAGGTGGGCTTGGGGAGCCTTTGGGATGTGACCAGTCAGAAGGGAGGGGGTCTCGAGTAGGACAGGGGCGGGGCCAGGGCAAGGACTTTAACCCCTTTATCACTTGTAAAATGGGTGTAAGAAGAACTTGTATTTACTGTGTGTATTCAAGGAGATGATGCATGGTGTAACGCTTATAAGGGATGTTTAACAAATATTTGTTAAACATCTATTGTTTGTGTTCATTGCTGCGTTTACTGTTCTAGACTCTTGGGATACAACAGTGAACAAAGCATTTTAAGGTCCTGCCCTGTGGCCTACACATTTTTAGCAGGAAGTTTTAATTTTATTTTTAGCATTATCACCTTTCTCGGGATATCAGCCCTGGTGTGGTGATTTTGGCTCTGGGCTGAGGGTCTCGGGACTGGACCCCACCCAACTGGGGGCCTTAGTTTTCCTGAGCATGTGAGGGGCTGCCCTGGCTGAGATGTCCAAGGCCCTATGACTGTGAGATTGAGTGTCCTTTTGGCCTCACAGTGGTGTCAGACCTATGTGCCACAGGAGACCACGACTGTGAGCAGATGTGCCTCAGCATCCCAGGCTCCTACACTTGTGCCTGCCGAGAGGGCTTCACCTTGAACGCTGACGGCAAGACCTGCAATGGTCAGTGGGAGGACCCAGGCCAGCCTGAGAAGGGCAGGGACTAGGCCACCCCCCAGGAAGCCCATCTCAGCCTTCCGGCACTTTGCCTCAGGGCATATCTGCAAAGGCAACAGGTGCCTTCTAGAGTTTGGTGTCTTCTGAGTTCTGTCCCTCTGTTTGGCACAGTGTGGGTGGGTTTAGTGGTAGAAGGGGTCTCAAGTTCGAATCTTGCTGTCACTACTTCTGAGCTGCATGATTGTGCAGGCTTTGAGCTTCAGTTTCCAGTGCCGTAAATGGGGCCAGGAACTTTGCCTCTATAGAGGGAGTTTTGAGGACAAAGTGGGATGACCCTCAGTGCAGAGCTTGGTGGGTGGCGGGTACCCAGACTGTGGTCAGGCTGAATGGCTATGTCTCAAGCTTCCTGTCTTCACCTTCCTGCCTGCCCAGTCTGCAGCAGTGGCGAGGGCAGTTCAGCCACTGACCTGGTCTTCCTCATTGATGGCTCCAAAAGCGTGCGGCCGGAGAACTTTGAGCTGGTGAAGAAGTTCATCAGTCAAATTGTGGATACGCTGGACGTGTCGGATAAAGCTGCGCAGGTGGGGCTGGTCCAGTACTCGAGCTCTGTGCGCCAGGAGTTCCCGCTGGGTCGCTTCCACACCAAGAAGGACATCAAGGCGGCTGTGCGGAACATGTCCTACATGGAGAAGGGCACCATGACGGGGGCTGCCCTCAAGTACCTCATTGACAAGTCCTTCACTCTGTCCAGCGGGGCTAGGCCTGGTGCCCAGAAGGTGGGCATTGTCTTCACTGACGGCCGGAGCCAGGACTACATTAATGATGCTGCCAGGAAGGCCAAGGACCTTGGTAGGTGCTGCCTGGAACTTGAACACCACTGATGGCTGTGGGGACCTGTGGAACAGCTTAACTATTATTTATCTTAGTGTCTTCTGGTAGTGCCTGGCCCAGGTTCAATGGGAATGAGCCAGGATTGGTTTGTCCAACTCTTTCTTATACTGATGAGAAAACAGGCCCTAGGTGAGTGAGTGGCTTGTTTTGATGGTCCTCTCGTAGCTGGGGCTTGGAACTTTTCCAGCTGAGTATTTCCAAGAACATACCAAAACTGCTGGAAGGCAACCCCACTTTGGGACAAACCTATCTCAGTTTTATCACCTATTAAATGAAAATAATAAGACCCACCAGATGGATGGTTAGGAGGGTTAAATGAGACGACAGAGCTCCCACTACTGGGAGGTGGTACAGGTCTGACATACAGTAGGACATCAAGGAATGTTGATTTCCTCAGTGTCTGTCCCAGACACTGCAATCACAATTCCAGAAGCTGCCACCAGGGGGTGTCTGGTGCTGATTGCCTGGACATTTCCCGAGAGTCTCATCGGAGGCCTGTCCCCGTGGCCACTGTTACATGTCTTGTTACCCTTGGCAGGCTTTAAGATGTTTGCTGTGGGTGTGGGCAACGCCGTGGAGGACGAGCTGAGGGAAATTGCCTCAGACCCCGTGGCAGAGCATTACTTCTACACAGCTGACTATAAGACCATCAACCAGATCGGCAGGAAGTTGCAGAAGAAGATCTGTGTGGGTGAGTGAGGCCAGAGCTGGCATTTGACGGGGGTGGGGGTGCTGTGGCCCCGGGGCGGGCATGGAGCCATTCTGGAACTGGATGTGGTTGGGGAAGAGCAGGAGCCTGGTGGTACCAAGAGTTAGCAGAACCAGGAAGAGTGCTGGCCACTCTAACCTTTGCAGCCAGCATATAGTGAATGCTCATCGCATGAATGGCACTATTCTTGGTGCTCTCCAATTATTAACTCATTCCACCCTATTGATAGGAATATTATTATATCCATTTTATAGACAGGAAAGCCAAGGCCAGAGGGGGAACATGTGCTAATAAGCTGGGATTTGAATCCTACTACCTCCCCTGGTCGTCCTTGGTGACCCTGCTGGCTGGTTCCAGTGGTAAAGAGTGTGGATTCCAGAGCCAGGCATGCCTGGGTTTGCATGTTTGCTCTGACACCAGCTCACTCTTAACCATGGACAAGTTATTTCACTTCTTAATGACTTCAAGCCCAAAGAATTGGGGTGAGGAGTCACTGAGGTGACAGAGGCCCCTAATAAGTGTTCTGCCCATAGCAGGTGCTCAGCATGGGATGTTCTTATTGGAGCTCTTTATCAGGGCTCCGAGGGACCAGGAAGACACCCAGGGACCACCCCTCCAGTGCCTCTGGGAGCACTGGCTCAAGAACTCTGCATGTCTCTCTGCCTCCTCAGAATTCCTAGGCCCCGAGACTCCCCAGTCTTGTCTCTGGTCAGCGACTACCCCACCCTCCCCCACAGGCAGCCACTCACACCCCTTTCTCTTTCCCTGCTTCCTGTCCACTCCAGAGGAAGACCCATGTGCCTGTGAGTCCATTGTGAAATTCCAGACCGAAGTGGAGGGGCTGCTGCAGGCCCTGACGAGGAAACATATCCTTCCCAGAGACCACTGCGGGTCCAGGGAGGGCTGTGGGGAGAGGAGAGGCAGCCATGTGTGATGGGGGTGGGGTAGGCACCTCCTCGCCTGCCTCCTGCTGACATGGGATGGATTCTGGCCCCGCAGGCTGGCACCAGCTTTGGTACTGATCCTGGCAAAAGCAGAGACTCCTAGAGGGTAAACAGAGAAACAGGCAGAAACCAAGATCTGGAGGCTGGACACACAGAGTCCTAGACATTCCCAGGGAAACATGCTGCCTGTGGGCTCCCGTTTCGCCGGCAATTAGTGACATGACTAACCAGTCTCTCTCTATTCGGTGAGCAGCTGCCTGGCTCAGTCAGGACCAGGGCACCCAGTAACGGGCTGGCATTTGGGGAAGGTCCATTCTGAGGGCAGTGGATGGATATGTTTTGATATTGAGGAGAACATGTGCTGGGGGTGGGGGGGGGAAGAAAACTCTGGAAGAGGGGCACTCTGGAGGAAGCGGGGTGGGGGTCCTGAGTGCAGCGGCCATGCCCATTCCTGCCCTGCTGCGGCCAGTCTGCCCCCTCCTTAACTCCAGCCCACTGGAAGCTGTGAGTAAGCGGCTGGCTGTCCTGGAGAATGGAGTCGTTTAAGGCCACCTGTCCTGCGCTGCCTCTCCGTCTCCCCACCCTGAGCGCAGCTCAGAGTCCTGCGTGGCCCCTAAAGTTCCGTTCTGCTTTGCCATTTCCGTGAGGGGTGTCTGGGATGGTCGGGTCCTGGGACCGCCCCAGACAGCTCCCTCTCTGTCCAGCCTGCGAGCCCCGGGGGCGTGTGTGTGTGTGTGTGTGTGTGTGTGTGTGTGTTTGTGTGTGTGCATGCGGGGAGCATGTGACCTTTGGGAGCACCTGTGTGTGTGCCCGAGGTTGGGTATGTGTCTGGGAGTAGGGACGCATGTGTGTGAGTGAGAACCTGGATGAGTGTGAGAGGGACTGAATTTGCATTTTTTTAATCAAAAGCTTAATATATTCCTATTTTTTATTTTTAGTTAACCCTTTCTTGACTGCGAGTGCTGTGAATCTCTTTTCTGATTTCTCTCTTCCCTTTTGAACAATAATTAAATGTGATTAACTTAAGCCCTCAATGGGGCTGGTGGCAGTGTGGTTATTTGGGGAGGAGGAGAAGGGACCTGGGAGGGGTGGTGATTTCAGTTTATCCTCCCAGTAAACCTGCCCAGGACAGACTGGAGTCAGCCGCACTTTGCAGATGGGAAAGGTGAGTGTCTGAGTGACGGGATCACACAGCAGCCACCCGGTTGGCAAGACAGGAATTGAATCCAGGTTTGCAAGATATCAAAGCAAAAGACATCAGAGAAGAAGAGCAGTGGCACCATTCACTCACTCATTCATTCAGGCAACACATGTGAATGGGAGCACATGCCCCCCAGCAGGCCATGGGGAGATGATGGGCTATGAGACACAGCCCCTGCCCTTGGGGGACTTCTTATTGAGTGGAGCACCCTGTCACCTCATCCCAGCCGGAAAAAAAGAGATCAGGCTTGGGTCTTACCAGAAGCTCATGACTGTGTGTGTGTGTGAGACGATGAGACGGGTCCCAGCTGAGGCTGGGGGGCTCTAGGTGGATCCTCTGCCATTTCCTGGAGCTTCAGCAGCTCACCTCCCCCCCACAACTGCAGCCCCAACTCAGAGCCAGTACAGGGGAAAGATTCCCGACCTCCCAACCTGGGGGGCCTCCCAGCCTCTCCTGGGCCCCTCTGGAGCAGCCCCCCTCCAGAATCTCATTCCCTTGCCTCCCAAAGTGGGAGCTTGGGTGATTTTCTGCACCCAGTCTTGTTTAATGGAGCATTTTTAGTGTTACTCCTGGATTCTTACTTGACAGCATGTAAAAGGCTTTTACAAGAAGCTCAGACCATCTGGAAAGATATTTCTTAGAGGCTGTTCAAGGAGGCAGAATCACACGCCTGGCACCGATCAAAATTTAGTGGCTTGAAATGACCACTTATTATTGTTGAGATTCTGTGAGTTGACTGGGCTCAGTCGGGTGGTTCTTCTGCTCCACGTGCTGTTGGCTGGTGTTATACTGTTTGGGTCTTGACCAGGCTGGAACTTGCAGCATAGCCCACTCACATGACTGCTGCCTTGGGAGAGATGGCTGCAACACTGGGCCTCTCTCCCTCTCTTTCCTGTTCTTGCTCCAGGTAGTCTCAGGGCCTCACCTTCTCCATGTAGACTCCAGTGGGGGAACTGGACTTCAATGGCAGTTCAGGGCATCTAGAAGCTTCTTAGGTCTGTGGCCCCAAATTGGCACTACTTTGCTTTCACTGTATGTTGCTGATCAAAGCAGTTATAGGCTAGCCCAAATGAAAGGGGTGAGGAGGTAAACTCCACCTCTCCATTCTCCATGGTGGGGAGAGTGACAATAAATTTGTGGTTGTCTTTAATCTGCTACAGGGGATCATTCACTGGTCCCTCTTCAGGGGCCTGGCTGCACTGCCTGCCTTGGGTATTTGTAAGACACTCAGGGAAGCTTCTTGGCAAAGTTAACATGGCTGAGCCAGTTTCTTTTTCACGCAGTGAGAGAGCCCTGACTTGGCTGTCTTCCCACCTCTGTTTCCTTCTACCCTCGGTGGCCCTGGCATCCTCGTTCTCATTCTTCAGTTCGAGAAGTGACCGGACCACCTGGGTCCCACTCCTCAGCTACCTGGTAATCAGGCAGGGCCTTTCACTTCTCCGAATCCCACCTGCTATGTCCTTGGAGAGGAAACAGCCTCGCAGGATGTCGTAGGGTGTACATGAGCCAAAGCAGGGAAGCCCTCAGCACAGTGCCCAACCACACTGTATCCAGAGTGGCGTTGGCATCACTGCCACCACCTGGGGGTGGTTTCCTGGGCTCGGGAACACACCTGCACCTGTCGGTTCCTCAACACCTCCCTCGCTCCCATGTGGCACTGGTGTATCTCAAGATGCTGTGGCCCCTGGCCTCCAGCGGCCATGCTGCCTGGAGCACCTGTTACCTGCTGGGAAACCCCTCCGGGTGCGCATCAGGGCCTCTGCGAGTCGTCTGCTCCTCAGCAGGTAGCTTGCTCATCTGTGTCATGTTAACAGGTACCAGCCCCCTGGCTCCACCAGGAGGCAAAGATGAGGACGGTCATGCTCCTGCTTTGGGTGGCACCAGCCTGAGTATCCCAGGGCTCAGGGGGTCAAGGCGTGGAGGGTGGTGGGAGCCTGCAAGCTTCCAGTGGCAGTCAGCCTGGCTCCATCACTCAGGCATACAGCAAATGACTGTGCGGCACCCATGCCAGGCCCTAGGCCCGAGGGATAGAACAGAGAATGGAACCACACAGAAGTCCTTGTGCTACTGGTGTCTCAGTCTCACCTTCTTTCTTTCTTTCTTTTTTTAATTGAAGTATCACTGGTATACAATCTTATATTAGTTTCAAGTATACAATACACTGGTCCCACAGTTACCATTATTATTAAATCCTCAGCCCCACTAGTTAACCTACTGTCTGTCAACACAGGAAGATGTTATAGAATAATTGGCTATATTCTCCATGCTGTACTACCATCCCCCTACCAACCTACATTATGATCGAGAATTTTGTGCTCCTTTATCCCCCTCCCTGTCCCCCCCACCCATGGTAACCACCAGTCACTTCTCAGTGTCTGTGAGTCTACTGCTGTTTGGTTCATTCATTTCTTGCTGTGTGAGCCCAGACAAGTCATCTCACCTCCCTGCGGGCCTTTGTTCCTCATCTGTTTCGTGCAGAGATGATCTAGAAACAAGGAACAAATGGGGAGAAATCTCTCTGAAGGGGCATCTGGTGTGTACTTGAAGCCCAAAGGCTGTCAGTATTTCTCCTATGAAGTCAAACAAGATAGAGAAGTGTCCAGGAGCACCTGTCTGGCCTGGCAGAGAGCAAGCATCAGGTTCCAGGTTTCTAGGAAAGGTCCCATGGGGAGGTAAGAGTGGAGGGGTCATGCAGCTCTGGCGTGAGTCCCCATGGTCCCCTTCACCCTCTGACCTTCCTAGGCAGTAACCCCAGCACCTTCCTTATAAGTGGTCATGCTGAGCACCCAGACAGACAGAGGGCTTGGCATGGATGTGACCAGGCCCAAGGGGCTCCCTGGAGGAGATAGCCAGGGTGGATTTGCAGGGAGCCCGAGAGCTGGACCTGCACTGGAAATCTGGAAAGAGAAGTGTGTGCGGAGTGTGGGAGGCCGAGAAGGGGCACATGGCTGGGAGGGAGGGGGAAGGAGGCAGTGAGGTCAGACTGTGGGGCCTCTAGGGGCAGTTCCAGTCTTATTGTTCCCTTCCTTTCCCCACGTCCAGCCCACACCTGTCTTTCTTTTCTTCCCTCCACATTTAGTAAGCATTGCCAAAGGCCAAAGCATACACCAGGCACTAGGGATAAAATAGAAAATTCTTCAGGGCCTCTGTCTTTGCGGTGCTCACAGTCTACAGACATTAGATAGGAAATTGCACAGAGAATCCAGCTGTGATAGCAAGATAGAGGAATTAGGGTGTGCTGCAGGGGCATATAGTAGAAGATCTAATGCAGCCATGGGGAGGTGAGGAGGCCTCCTGAAGAGATGGACCCAAAGTCACTTTAGGAGTTAGGAGGGTGGAGGGGGTAGTGGGGAAGAGCATGTCCAGTGGAGGGAGAAGCAGTTCAAGGGCCCTGAGGCAGGAAGGTGAGTGACCTCCCAGGGCCTGGATGCAGCTGCACAGCGGGAGCAGCCTGCCTGGAGCAGGGAGGAGGCCTGTGACCAGATGCTCCGTCGGGAGGTGGAGCAAATCCATGGAAGGGGGTTAAGGAAGGAGGTGATGTGATCAGCTTCTCCAGTTACAAATAGGACTCATGTTTTCCCCACAAACGCTTGATGGGATGTGAGGTGGGCAGTGCAGAGGTCTCAGTTGGGTAGGTAGGGACTGAACGTCCCTATCACATACCCAGGGAGGGGCAGTGACCTTGCAGCTGGCCCTGCTGGGTCATGTGCAAAGCTGACACCTGTCAGTGGGAGGCAGTGGCACCCTGGGCTGGGTTCAGATCCTTCCGAACCCAAACTTCTGCTGCTAACTCATCACAATTCTCCTCACAGCTACCCCCAGGTCCTCACAAATCCGCCCTCTCCATGTCATTCTCACGTCTCTTTCTGTTCTCTGTTTGATTAACAGAAGGTTTAAACAAGTCCCAGAAAGAAGAAACACTAGCATTTCCCCAGGGCAGCTGCAGTCGATTGGCAGATGGCAAGTTACTTTGTAGCCAATATTTTTGTTTTTTTGATTTTTGTATAGATAAATAGGACTAAACTGATTAGGAATTTTGTTTTTTCTTTCTTTCCTTAGGTCTTGGTCCACAATGGGAGTCTCGGGGGTCCCACAGTGAATTGGTTACCAGGTTTCAACAAAGCGTTTGTCTTCCCAGTTACAATTCATTAATGGACTTATAAGGGAGGGAAGATGGCAAAGTCTGCTCAGGGGAGTGTTTTGCATTTCTCCTCTTTTAATTACATGATTGTCTCCTGGATTAATGCTCTGTAAAAAATGGAGGGGGGAGGGAGTCCCAGCATCCCCTCTGGTTCAGGTATGAAGGCAGTTCGTGCGGGAGGAGACAGAGGCAGCTCGCCTGTTGGCGTGGCTCCCCTTCGCGCGGGGGCGTGGCTGGGAGGCGTGGCTGGGAGGCTCGGCCCCCCGGAGCTCAGCTTTAGGGTGTGTTGACACGGGGATTGAGTATTCGGGGTCAGAATCAGATTTAGGTCACGCATTGAGTTACCTTTTATTGATCACCCACTAGGTATTTGGTGATCTGTACACAATTTTGAATTCAAAATCCGAGTGATCCTTTTAACAAATTTTTTTCACAAACAGGGAAACTAAGGCTGCCAGGTATAAAGTGTCACACAGCCAGTAAATGCAGAGCTAGGATTTGAACCCAGGCATCTCTGGCTCTGAAGTCAGGGCTCTTTGCAGAACATTGCTGTACTGAGGTTCTGACTCAGTACAATGAAAAGGAGGTTCCAGTCCTTTCTCTACAGGTTGGGACAATAGCAGGGTAACTGCCTTGTTCTTTAGTCCATTCTGCACACTGATGGTCCTGCACTCTGATCAGGTCATACCCTT